AGGGAGAGGGAGAGGGAGAGGGAGAGGGAGAGGGAGAGGGAGAGGGAGAGGGAGAGGGAGAGGGAGAGGGAGAGGGAGAGGGAGAGGGAGAGGGAGAGGGAGAGGGAGAGGGAGAGGGAGAGGGAGAGGGAGCTCACAGCCTTATGTTCCTGAGGTGACAATACAGCAGCCACGACAACATCAACAGCGACCGATTACACTCACAAGTTGCACACGCCATCAAACAAGATGACGGGTCGCTGGTCAATCGCAAAGTCGTCGCGCGTCGCCGCTTTCCTGGCTGCCGTCGCAGAAGCGGGTCGTCCTGCCGGGTCTGCCGCTGCCGCAAGGCTCACACCGGGCGCTGTGCTTGTGGTGTCGCCTTCAGCCCCGGCACACACGCACGTGGACATGCGCGGTGTGTTCATACGACGGGTGATAATGCTAGGGGATGTGGAGATAAGGACTGGAACAGCGGGACGTGACGCCCTTGACGGCGGAGGCCCCACGCGCGCCAGGGGTGTATAGGTCTGCAGCATGCGATGACATACATGCCTTGCAGCCTGTGAAGGCCGCGAGGGTTCACCCAGACTGGCATTCATTGCCATCTTTATCTTTGGTCAATGACAGCGCCACGAGCGCCCTCAGGAAAACGGGTGGTTGCCTGATGTGCACAAAGGCTACCAGCACAGCTTCACACGGCGGGCCAACTGCAAATATTCATGTTGTTTTGCAGGTTTCTATATTTTACTACGTTGAAAGAAGCAAGCTAAAAGAAGGCGTCGTGGTTACGTGGCATCTCCACACAAAGCTACTTGTCGTTTTCCACGATAGCGCAGCAACAAATAGATTCCTTAAACCTTCTTTATTTATTTTTTTGCTGTCAGTCAGGAGTGTTCGTGCTTTACCAGATGGATAGAGTTTCATGGAGGTTTGTCGTGTGTGGCTGAGCTCGTTATCCAACGCACAATATGCAACCAACACAACATACAAAGAGCCAATATTTCCGTCTTATGCTCGAGAAATATATCGTGACGGAGCTTCGTTATTGCATCGTCGTGGTGGACGTGAAGCGTCGGTGCCGGTACTGGTACGGCCAGTCCCAACGGAAGCCGGCGAAAACAATACAATATAATCAATTACATGAATTTTGGGACAATTTTTTTTCCATTTTAGTAAGGAACCTCATGCTCGGCGACATACACTTTATTTGTCCTCTTTCCGGCTTGAATCGACCCGGAGTGCAGGCGCACCAGCATGAGGAGACGTTTATGAGATAGAAAAAATGACGTGCGTCACCCATATACCGGCTGCGCATTTGGGAAGCTGTCCGGGTTCGTGCCGCTTCATTGCTAGTCGCGCGGTGGCCAACTCGTCGACTGCAGCCTAATCGCGGAATGGAGTGTTTAAGCGAGCAGGAAGCGATGCGGGTCCTGCAGGCCGCGGCGGCCCTGGACGCGATACATACCCCCGGGTCGCGGACCGCAGCCCTGTCCTCCGCAAGAACCTCCCTGCCGCTGCACCTGCCACAGACCACACCGTGCGCAGACAGCCCTCTATGTCCGACCCAAGCGCTTGGCGAGGACGTCTGGCGGGAAATGGCGGAGGCGGACAGCGGACAGCAAAAGCGGCACGGCGACCTGGACAGCTGGCTGGTACGTGCCGGGTGCGGGTGCGAGGGAGGATATAGCCTGATTAGCAGTCTGGCCGGGGCTGGTGAACAGCGGGTCGTCGAATCCAAGTTTGGTTCGATTTGATTCGATTTGGGTCTGTCGTATCTCCGGGAGGGCAGTCATCAAATGGTAGCTAGGTTGGGATGGGCGAGGTGGGCATGGGGCAGGTCACGCCCCAACAGCAATCATTTGGCCCGGGGCTGTGTGCTTCATTGGAGGTCCATGGGGCCGGGTATTCATCGTACGCTAGCCCCTTGGGTTCCGGAGCTGAGCATCGTGCGTCGTGGGTTTTCCGGTCGTGTCGTTATCGGGCCACTACAGCCACCCCGGCTGCGCGGCTGCGTGGCGGCATCCCATCTCACGTCACCTGCTCGAGGTCATCCCGCTACTGCTGTTGGTGCTGCTACTGCTGCTCGGCAACTATTGCTGCTACTACTGCTACTGCTGCTCGGCAACTATTGCTGCTACTGCTGCTCGGCAACTAGTGCTGCTACTGCTGCTACTGCTGCTCGGCAACTATTGCTGCCACTACTGCTACTGCTGCTCGGCAACTATTGCTGCTACTGCTGCTCGGCAACTAGTGCTGCTAGTGCTGCTACTGCTGCTCGGCAACTATTGCTGCCACTACTGCTACTGCTGCTCGGCAACTATTGCTGCTACTGCTGCTCGGCAACTATTGCTGCTAGTGCTGCTACTGCTGCTCGGCAACTATTGCTGCTACTGCTGCTCGACAACTATTGCTGCTAGTGCTGCTACTGCTGCTACCGTTGCCACTGCTACCATTGCCACTGCTGTTGTCTTTTCCCGCACAGGATGTCTTCCGGGCCACTGCGTCCAGCATGCGCAACGCGTATCGTACACGGGAGGCCCTCACGTACGAGTCATTGGCGTTCGGATGGTACGTGTACACACCTTGACGGCTCGTACATGCGTCCGTACGTGTGCCGTTCGGACCCACGGGTCACAGCCACATGTGTGTATCCCGCTTCACGGTCCCAGAGCCCGGGCCCCCACCTCCCACCCCCCCTTGGGAGGTACGGCTCCGAGGGGCTGGCAGGTGCCCTCCCTTAACCCACCCAACGGCTGTATCAACCTCCTTTCTGCCCCCGCACGCCCGAGAAGACCCTCCCCCCTTTTCCCCTCCCCCCTTTCATAGGCTAGCTCTGGCTCGCAAGCACGAGCCGCTCCCGTGCGCCCCCCCTGCTGCTGCCGGAGAGGAAGTAACGGACGAGTGAGTGCTTTGGGGGGTAGTGATACGGGGGCCGGAAGGGGCCTCCGGGGGAGACCCGGGGTAATACACGAACCCTGGGTACCGATTGACGGACCGACGGGCCGACGGACACGCAGACTGACAGACTGACTAATGCGGTTGTTACTGTTGCTTCTGCTGCCTACATAATTTGTTGTCCGTGGTGTTGTTGACCCATTTTACTGCTGCTACTGCTGCTACTGCTGCTGCTGCTACTACCACTGCTGCTGCTACCACCGCTGTTGCTACTGCTGTTGCTACTGCTGTTGCTACTACTACTGCTGCTACTACTGCTACTGCTGCTGCTACTACTGCTGCTGCTGCTGCTACTGCTACTGCTACTACTACTGCTGCTACTGCTACTATTACTGCTACTACTGCTGCTGTTACTACTGCTGCGGTGTAGGGCCGTCCTGGCGAACTGGC